AGAGCTCAAAACAAGTCTGCACTGTCAGAAACCGTGCAGCGATTCCAGCCCGACCCCTGCCCCACCCTCGAAACGCACAGGACAGCGAGCCTCTCTCTTATTTTACTGGTCTGAGTGCGTGCCTCTGCGAGCGAGAGAGAGATTATAATTAGCCCCAGTTAAGAGCAGAGTGCTCTTCCCCGACAGCGTCTCAATAAAAAGGCTATTAGCAGCAGATGAGGGGTTTTTAAGAGGAGCCGCGGAGCTGCAGCCCGAGGCCTTAATGAAGTCCCAGCCGAGGCAGCGGCCCTGTCGATATCTGCGCTGGGCTGGGGCGAGGGGGGGTGGGGGTTGCAGACTCTGTCCCCGTTTCCCTCTCTCAATGCAAAAGCACACCTCTGCCCAAGGCCTTCCTGGATACGGGCGGCTGTTTTTAATCCGAAATGTCTTTATTCCGAAGGGCTGAAGGCGAGGTGCCGTCGGGTCAGGTAAAGCACACGAACGGAGGTGACACGCGCGCGGACAGATGCGCGCTCCGGGGGGAGGGGGGGTTCCACAGACAGCGGGATGGAAAGACGCATGGATCAAAAGGGAAAGGGGAAAGAGAGTGGCTGGCGAGCCGATTCAGGAACAGACTGACAAGACCAACAGCTAGACGGACCAACCCTCCCCACGTAGTGACCTGCAGTCGCTACAAACGCGTCGGTGTTTGAAAACCTGTGCCCGTTCTGGCACGCCTGCAAGCCTGGAATGGCACCGTCATGGTGGGGACGCACGAAGCCCTAATGGCAACACGGATTCCAAAGATTTCCGACTCCCGTCGAAGGAAATGAATGGAACGCTGGAACCCGGCTGGGATTTCAGAGTCTAGGATCGGTGGCGTGACGAGCTTCCGCTGCATTACATCGGAGCCATACTCAACACCGCGATGGCTTGGGAGGTCCGAACTGGCCCTGCGCTCGAATCCCAGACCCAGCTGAGAGCGTCTGTCTTGTGCTCTCCGGAGCTACAGATCTTATCCTCGTGGCCCAATACGTGCTCCTGCTACTCTGGCATACCAAGGCCTTTGCCCTTGCAAAACTGAGACACTGGTGTGGTGGCAACAGCAAAAAAAATGAAGCTGATCTTGGTCGGACATGAGAACTCGCGGGGTTTCCAAAAGCCGATTTAAGACAGAACTGTCCGAGAGTTAAATCTAAATCCAAGCCTCTCTTTCTCTTCCCCGTCAATCCTTCTGGTCCGCATCCTTTATGTTCGTCCTCCTCACCCCCCTTTCCCGTCTCCTCTCTCTCCCTATTTTTATGGCCTCTCTTCTCCCTCGGGGTCCCACTCCTGGAAAGTAGGATGGATGAACTAACAGACAAGGTGGACAGAGGGGCAGACGGTAGCTGCTGCTGTTTCCTGCCTCCACCCTTCCTCTGCTTTGCAGCCCTGACAAGAGTCCTACGCAAAAAGCCCCTAAAAACGCAGATCCCAATTTCACGGACCGTACCCCAAAAACCCTGCCTGCAGCTCCACCACTCCAACCTTAACTCCAGCAGCCCCTGTCGTCGGCTCCCTCCCCCCCACTTATAGCACCTTTGGAGCCCAGTGCACCCCGACGTGAACAGGCTTCACGAACAGCCTCAGGCACCAAAAACAAGCTCTCCGCTGCAAAATATTATCCAGGAAACAGAATACGACACCAGAATACCGAACCCCAATACTGTTCGCTGCTCAACCGCAATAAAGAACGCTCCACTAGAAACTGATCCAGATGACAAACCCCCAGTGTCTGGATTATACCTTGATCCCAGCTCTAACCTGAGGTCCAGAACCGGCAACTCTACAGCTTCCAGATGAACCCGACTAATAAAGAAGGCCCCAAGATCAGGTTAATTCCCGATCTGAGCCCCGATAACAGTACCCCCAATTGGGCTATTCCACCTTGTTAATTAATAAGTGTTCCATCACAATTCATATGACAGTTAAAATTGATCAGAAAGACAGATGACAAAAGTCTAAAAGCATGCAAATTATTTTCTGATCCCTTCGCTGAACTCCAGTGCTGATGCTTGTGCCCCTATACTGTGTAGAATGGCCCTGCTGCTGTCTCTTCTCCAGAGACAGCTTGCTGCCTTTACTCTTGAGCAAAGGTGACCCCAATATCTACAATATTCTGAACCTCCGTCATGTATCAGACACCTATGCACAGAAAATTTAATGTTTTACGTTTCAGGAACACACAGAGAGAATAGTTGTAGAAAATAACTTTGACTGAGTACGTGAACTTTCTTTATTATAACTGTATTATCACAGCATTTTTTTTTATCAGGTGGAGCTCAGATTCGTGCCAAGAAGGGAGTTTCTATGAACTTCCCCTGTACTGAAACTCACATTCCCCTCTGTTGAGAACGTTCCCAGTTTGGAAATTTGCCTTTTGTCAGAAAAGTTTTGGTGTGACTTGCAGTAGCGAGTGTGGAGAAACAAAACAAACCACCTGAAGTAATAGGAGAGGTATTGACTCATCTGGGAATATGATCACAGACACTAGCAATCCCGTTATGAGCGACAGCCTGCCATGACTCAGCGCAAATGCCTAAGAAGGTGGGCTTCAGTGTGAGTCAGCGATGGCCATTTCAACACACTGGAGTTCACAAGAAATGTTTTCACCTCCCCTGGAGCAGGAAAAAAAGGTCCTTCCAGCAAACGCCAGTCAGAGAACTGCAAGATCCGAGACGAGAGGGGAACAAGCCGCAATTCAATGTTATCAGGAGGGCAGGACCAACGCAGGGCAGGGACACTACTGAAAACAGAAATTTCGACAGCTCACAGGGGAGCTGGCTTGTTAGGGAAGTGCTTTAGCGCTGCAAGGCGCTATATAACCCCATGCCGTCACTGCGGACAGCTTTCCTTGGCCAGCGGATGGTACCGTCGGACGCTCTCGCCCTTGTGGGTCTGCGCCCCTGTCACTCTCCAGAGAGACCCGCGTGGGGCGTCACCATGCAATCCAGCACCGTACAGGGCTACCCGACGGCAGTCCAACTCACCAGCACGCCGGAGCAGCTCTCGAGGGGTCCCGTTTTAGGAACGGCACAACCTACCCGTGCATTCGCAGCGAGAGAGAGAGGGGCCTACAGCCTCTCTACTGCGACCGTGAGGGTCAGGTTACAGCCGGAACACCTAGAGCCGGTCAGCACAACCTGGCTACTTCCAGGCCAACAGTGGCAGATCCATAGGCAGACATGGGCTCCACACCGCTGCGCCTTTTTACAACAGGCAACATTACAGCTAATTAATATTAATGACACGGCTGATCACTGTCAGGATATGCGGCCGGGCCTGTGCCATTAAAAACCAGCTCCTTCCGGATTTTCCAGAACAGGACAGCTGCGGACACGAAACAAACAGTGGGATTCAAACCCCTAGGAGCAGAGGAGAAGCCATTCCCACAAATCCCAGTAATGTTAATCGGGAAATAACAGCTAGTAGAACAGCAATCACAGATTCACAACATTAAGGATCCATAATGCTCAATCACAATGAACATTATGGATACTACATCCAACAACTCCTTCAACACCATTGCTACCAAAAAAAACTTTGCAAAATTCCCAGCACGCTGATGGAGTGCAGCTCTCTCCCAGTTTTCACCCCCTGGCCTGCTCAAGCAGATGGGAGATTCTCAGTTTAGCTGCAGATCAAATTTTCCTTTCAAATTCCGACTGGCAATCCACGGTTTTTCTTTTATTCCCCTTTCTTCCGTCTTCTCTCCTTCTCGTCCGCTGGCAGGTGCGGACAGGGAGCAAATCCCAGTATCCTCCCCTTTCCGTCCAGGAAAACGTGAGCTCCCGTGAAAACTCCTGGAGTTGCTTCCAAAGCGGGCTTCCTCCTGGAAGCCGGCCGTGAGGAAAAACAGGCGGAGGAGACGCAAGGCAAGATTCCTCTTCCCGCACTTCCGAACTCCTTCCCCCTTTATTCCTTTTATCCTCTTACTGAAGTCAGAACGGATAACAGGGCAGCCGGACAAACCTTCCACCTCCTCTTTTCCACCCGGCTCCAGCTCTTGATGCTACATCACCGGGCCCTCGATTTCCCCGGGCCTCTATATGCAGTTTTTCCCCCCTGCTCCCTGGTTTTTGGGGCCTCCCCCCCCCCAAGGCACCCCCACCCCCTCTTCTCTTCAGCACAGCCAGGCTCAGCCGGCCAGATCGATGCTGGCAGAGCACAAAGCCGTCAACGGAGGTGGGAAAAAAAAAGGAGACGAGCAAACAGCAAACGGGAGCCGGGCACGGAGATGGAAACTGCTCCTTATAGAAACGAGTCCTTCTGTCTCCGGTGAGGAGCAGGTCTCTCCCCCTCGGTCTCCTCCTCGCCGTCCTGGAGGCGTGTCCTCTCGGAGAGGCACGCGCACACACACACAGGGACACAGACGCTCCCTCTCTCTCTCTCCCCGCTGCCCGTCTTGAAAGCACAGGCGTGCACAGACACACACAGGAAGGAGGGAGGGAGGGAGCACGTGTTTGAAAAGAGACAGGGAAACACAGCGAGCTCGCCCCACCCCCATCGCCATCCACTCCTCCCCTGTAACCTGACTACACTTCCACTCTGTCCCAGATGGGAGGGGTAATAAACAGACATTGACTGGCTGACCAGCTGCACACAGCACTTCCTACATTAACAGCGAGCCGTTCGAGAGCCCTGAGAGGGTCTAATGCACATAAAATGAC